GATCCCAGTTATTGATTCTTTGTCCTAGTTCCTGTGTTACTGAGTATTTGTTCATAAGGTCTTTTCCTCTGCCAGTGTCTTCAAGAGTTCTACCTAATTTATCTTCCAGCAAATTTATTTTAATATTTAGACCTTTAATCCACTTGGATTTTAGTTTAGTGCATGGTGAAAGATATGGGTCTAGTTTCAATCTTTGGCAGGTTGAAATCCAGAGAGGATGATTGGCTCATTTGTCAAAGGTGAAGTGGCTAAGTATTCTGAGGTTGTTTCCGTATCTTCTAATCTATTCCACTGATCCTCAGGTCTGTTTCTTTGCCAATACCATGCTGTTTTTATCATAGTAGCTTTGTAGTATAGTTTCAAATTGGGGATTGTGATGCCTCCTGTCACGTCTCCACTGCCTAGAATGGCTTTTGCTATTCTAGGTCTCTTCTTGTTCCAAATGAATTTTTGTATTTTTTCTCCAGTTCTGTGAAATATACTGTTGGGATTTCACCTGGGATTGCATTAAATCTAAATGGCAGTTTTGGAAGTATGGCCATTTTCACTATATTGGTTCTTCCTACCCAGGAACAAGGAATGGCTTTCCATTTCCTTATATCTTCTTCATCTCTTTTTCAGAGTGCTGTAGTTCAATGTAGAGGTCTTTTATTTATTTCATTAGATTGATTCCTAGGGATTTCACTTTTTTGAATGGTATTGTAAAAGTACTTGTTTCTCCAGTTCTCCTCTGAATGAGTCTGTTGTTCATGTACAGTAAAGCTATCGGTTTTTGTTGTTGGTCTTGTATTCAGCTACTCCACTGAATCTTTCAATTAAGTCTAGAAGTCTTTTGGTGGAGTTCTTTGGGTCTTCTATGTAGCATCAGCAAATATCATCAGCAAATAACGACAGTTTAACTTATTCCTTTTCTACCTTTGTTCCTTTTGTTTCTTTCTTTTGTCTAATTGCTGTGGCTAATGTTTCCAGAACTACACTGAACAGGAGAGGTAAGAGTAGACATCCTTCTCTTGTTCCTGATTTTAGCATAAAGTTTTTAGTTTTTGACCATTTAGTGTGATATTAGCTGTTGGTTTTTCATAAATAGGCTTTATCAAGTTGAGATAAAGATCATCTATTCCAATTTTCTGCAGTGTTTTGATCATGAATCAGTGCTGCATTTTGTCAAAAGCTTTTTCTGCATCTATTGAGATGATCATATATTTTTTCCCTTGGCTCTAATAATATAGTGTATTACATTTATTGATTTACATATGTTGAACCATCCTTTTATCCCTGGAATAAATCCAACTTGGTCAGGGTGTATGATCTTCTTGATGACCCTCTGTATTCTATTGCCAGTATCACATTGAGGGTATTTGCATCTATGTTCATTAGGGAGATAGGCCTGTAGTTCTATTTTTATTTGGTCTTTCTCTGCTTTTGGAATCAAAGTAACACTTACTTCCAGGAATGAGTTTTGAAGTATTGCTTCCCTTTCAATTTCATTGAAAAGTTTAAAGAGTAGTTCTTCTTTAAGTGTCTTGTAGAATTCACCAGTGAAGCCTTCAGGACCTGGAATTTCATTTGCTGGTAAATTTTTAATTATATTTTCAATTTCACTGATTGTAATCAGGGTGCTTAGGATTTTTATATCTTCTTTATTCAATTTTGATAATTCATATTTATCTAGAAATCTGTCCATTTCTTCTGTGTTTTCAATTTTATCAGAGTACAGGTTCTTGAAGTAAGTATTTATGATCTTTAAAAGAGATAAAATTCTTTAAAACATAGCTATGGGAAAAACTATTTGAACAGAATCTCAATTGCGCAAGAAATAACATCAAGAATCAACAATTGAATTATATAAAATTAAAAAGTTTCTGCACTGCAAAGAACATTACCAACAGAGTAAACAGAAAATTGACAGAATAAGTAAAATATTTTTGCAGCTATTCCTTAGACAGAAGACTAATATCAAGAATACCTAAATAACTCAAAAAATTAGACCCACAAAATAAAAGATCTGATAATTAATCAACAACAATGAATAGACATTTATTAGAAGTAAAAATATTGAATATATGAAAAATAATTTTCAACATCTTCAGCTATTAGAAAAATCCAAATTAGGAACACCAAGATTTCTTGTTACTCCAGGAAAAATGGCTCCCATGAAGAAATCAAATAATAACATTGCTTGCAAAGCTTCAGGTAAAAAAGTATCTTTTTATCTTATTGGTAGGAATACAATCTAATACAACCATAATAGAAATAAGTATAAAGATTCCTCAAAAACTAAAAATAGAAATACCTTTTGTCTTAGCTATTACCTTTCTATGTATCTTACCCAAAAGCTAAAAATATAATATTTCAATTATCCACAAGTTATAGCAGTACAATTCATAGTAATTTAAATCTTGTAATTGGCCTATGTGCCCATCAACCCATCAACAGATGAATAGATAAAGAAAATTTGGTATTTATACACAGTAGAGTGTTACTCTGTCAAAATAAGTATAAATTTGGGTTCTCTGTAGGAAAAAGAATGTACTTTGTAACTAAGTTAAGTAAAATACATCAGACACCCAGTCCCATATATCATTTAGTTTCTCTTATATGAAAAGCCAAAAATGTAAATAAATTAAAAATCAAAATGAAACATAAATAATGCAAACCAGAGAGATAGCTTTTTTGCACATAGCAAGAGGATCAAGCAATGATTGGTGGGGAAAGGGATGGGGAAGATAGGAAAAGTAAAAGGAATTAAATCGAATTATGTATTTGTATCAACTCCCTACGATGAATGTAATTGTATAGACTGTAAACATATTAAAGGATTTTTTCATTGAGTTTATTGGTACCTTTTAGATATACAGTACAGTTACATTCATCATTGGGATCTTGTACAAGTCTTGGTTCTCATTTTTAACCTGTACCCCTGCCTTCCCTTCATCCCCTGCTCCCATCCCTATTTACAAATACTTTATTTCCATTTTTTCATTTTTCATATTTTTGTTTTCTCTTATTTCCTTTCCCCTACCCTTCCCACTTCCCCTACACCTTTAGCCCTTTTCTTCCTATTTTACATTGTCAATTATACCATTAGAGTCATGTACAATTATAGTTTTTCACACCAGAGAAACCATTTGGTTTTTACACATGTGTGACTTATTTATTTCACTTGAGTATAACCTCGATGTGTATCCATTTTCCTACAAATGATTCTAATTTCTCATTCTTTATGGCTGAGTAGTATTCCATTTTATATAAAAACCACATCTTCTTTATCCAGTCTCCAACTATAAAGGAATTTTTTAAAAAATAAACATAATATACAAAACTCCTCCTAAAAGAAAAACTCCATTTCCGTATAAATTACTCCAAATAACCAGATTTAATCCATTTTTATGACCTATGTATCCCATTGTATATATCTAACACTTTATCCATCACATTGACTGTTAGTTGATTATGTAGCTTGGCTATTATGAATAATGCAGTAAATATGGAAGTACAAGTACTTTTTAAACATCCTGGTTTATTTCCCTTGTACATACAAACAGGGGTAGGATTACTGGATTAAAGTCTTTCCATTTGTAGTTCTATGAAGAACTATAGTTCTATTTTTAATAAAGAATGCTGTTCATGAACAAACATAAGGAAGGCTTCCTTGATGTCCCAAGGAGTAAAAAATGAAGATGCAAGAAGTACTTTAGGAAGTTCCAAGGGTTTGAGTCACACAGCAAGTCAAGAGCAAATCTGCCTGGAGAGTGGATCTCTCCCATCCCTGAGAGGTGGTGTGGTGAATTTTTGTTGTCTCACCAATGCTAAGGGCAATGATGTCCGGACCTCAGCCTTGGCCAGAGTGCAATAGTCTCACCTGTTTTGTTATTCATGTCTTCATCAAACCCAGGTTTATCACATTGTGGTGATGACTGCTTTCTTCAGCATATGTTTCTTTGTGAGTTAAATCAAGTAAAGACATGTGATGTGCCTAGCTAGCTACCCAGTGTAGGGAGAAGGAACAAGGGAGGGGAGCCTTCTATTTCTTTTCCTCACAGGTCAATGACAAATGCATGTTAGGAGCAGAGACTATGGTGAACACATATAACCAGGAAACAGATCTGATTTATAAATGACTCATACTTCATTTGAACCAGGGTCTCCTGTTAATTAACACACTGGAAATATTCCATGTGTTCTAGGGCAGCAATACTTCACAATGATGTTGAATGGGTGGTGACTCTCTGCTGTCTATCAATGCTGAGGCAGAAGAATGGCCTCATACCAGGAGCCCAAACCCAGCGTGTAGAAAATAGCGCAATCCCATCTCAAAACAAAACAAAAAACAATTCACTGTAACAAGCTACATTGCACCCTTTACATAGACGGTGTTGTAAGGTGCTAGGTTTACAACTCATGTGAAGAGGGGAAGGGCAATGAGTCATGGAAAGGAGAAACAGAACAGGTACCTTTCCTCACTACCATCCCAACATGTAAGCTTGAGAATTCGGCAAGGGGAGACCGGCACAAATCTACTCATGAGGCTGCAGCCCCATGATGAGAATCCTCACACCACCCTGACACTGCAGCACTGAGGAATGATGGTTTCTGGAAACACCACAGCAGGCTGTGAGCTGGTCTACAAGGGTTGTGGAGATGGTGCTGGAAAGGATCAACAGGGCCATCACTGAGAACCTTCCAAGTCCCCTGGTCAGAAAGCCAGACCTCTGTTTAAGACCCTTGTAATCTGAGGTGCTGGAGAAAGCTGTGGGAAACTATTGAGACAAGGCTGTTATATACTCAGATGCAGACCCCCTAAAAGTTATAGATTGATCATCTAACTCCTAGAAATTTTTGAAAATTTTCACCAAATCTTTCTTGCAATAAATTTTAATGGAAAGGAGGAAAGAAAATTATGCCAAATTTAAATTCAGATCTACAAGAAAGAATGAGTGCAGTGAAGACAGTGAATACAAAAATTGTCTTTCTTGTTATTAAAATTTATCTAGGTTGACAGTATACATAGCTCAGTTGTATACAACTTGACTGGCATGCATGTGACCATGTGCATGATGAATCCGTGATGGTGGACTGGAAAGCGCAGTGGAGACCACAAGAAGTTAGATAAGCCAGGCTTGTGGAACATCTGAGAAAATCTGCAAGTATACGGCAAATCCAGCCAAATAGTGAAGCCATGAGAGCTGCACCCCTCCAGCATTACCCGAGGGCCAGGACCCAAGCCATTTGGGGCTAGCATCATCACATCTAGCCCCAGGTCTGGACATATAGTTATGGGATTTAATGTTTGTGCTCCTGTGTTCAGGCTTGCTCTAGTCTCGTTCCTTTCTCTTCCTTTATTCTTCCCTTTTGGAATGGGAATGTTTACCCTTTACCATTGTATATTGGCTTCTTTACCTTTCTTTTTGAATGTTATGTGTGTTCTCAGGTAAGATTTTGCCTTAAGTCTAAGAATAAACATTAGACTTTTGGCTTTTCACCAATGTTGGAATTGTTAAGACTTTGTCAACTCCTAGAGATGGACCAAATGTATATTCCATAGAGAGATATGCATGAGTCTTCTGGTGGGATGGAACACTAAATGTTATGGCTTATATATAGACGTCCCCCAAAGCCTTACATGTTCAGGATAGAGATTTTGGAAAGCGGTTGAATTTCATCAACATTATACTGGAATTGCTGTAAGGAGGTGGAGTTTGGACAAAAGAGGCAGAACACTGTGGGTGTGACCTAAAATACATACTTCCTTTCTATCTCCTCTCTTGATCTCTCACTACTTTCCACCTACAGTTATATGAGCAGATTTCCTCAATATTAGCTCCTTCTGACATGTTGTCGACCATGCAAGGGTTGAAACCTCTACAAATGGTGAGCCAATGTGAGCCTTTATTTTGCAGGAGTCAGTTATTGTGTCTCAGTGTCTAGGAAAGTGACTCAGACACTGCTATAGCCTATCGTCTTAGTCACTTGTCCAATTAACTTAGTTGCAACCAGCTGCCAACTCTATTTTCTCTGGTTCTGTGTCTTTGTACATGTTTTATTGTTTCTATAACCTCTTTGTCTCATACTCATTTTGTTTTTCAAATTCTATTTATTCTGTGAAACCACTGAAAATCCTTTTATCCACAAGAAGAGCTTAAACTTCCTCTGAAATAAGAAAGACTTATCTTTGCAGCTATAAGATTCTTGAAATGTATTTAGTTCTAATATTTACTTAGGGATTTTGTAGATCTGGTTCCCTGGCTGGGAAACAGGAGGGAAGAAGCTCCACATTCTGAAATCTGGCCAGAGCCCAGTAATGAGCCCTGTTTGTGACCATCAGTCCAGGGTGACAGTCTCCACCCTTACTTTCTGTACATTACAGAAAGCTCTCCTGGGAGGCCTCCTGGTCCTGGCTGCCTTCGTGATGTCATGTGGTGCCCAGTGTTTTACCGTACCCTTGGAGGGAGGTCAAGAAAATTCCACTGCTGGTAAGTATTGGTTTTAAATGTTTGTAATGTTATTGAAGCATGGTAGATACAACCAGCTGTCAAGTGAAACTGTTTGATTCTATAAAGGGAGGTAGGTGAGGGTACATACTGTAATGGAATCAAATCACAGTCTTCAACGAGGCCCACATATAAGACAGTTACTCTCAATTCTGCCTGGCTGAGAGTTGCCTAGAGAGCTTTGCAAACCTACCAATCCTCAGGATCCATCTAAGACACAATGAACCAGAATGTCTGTTGTCAAAACAGCATATTCAGCAGCTTCTTGGTTGATTCCCACATGGACTCAGGGTTGAGAACCATTGTGGAGTCCAAAGAGATATCAGACTTTGATGGTCATGGCAAGCAGAGGGAGACCTGTTAATCTGCCGGTCTGATCCAGAGACACTGAAGGGGGAGATGTGCACGTCTGTGGCAACCTAGGCTATTCTGAGTGCCTGGGTCCTGCAAACCCACCTTGGCTTCAGGCATCTCTTCAGTGGTTTTCTCCATGGGCTGAATGAACACATTTCTCCAGTACTTGAAAATGATGTGAGCATTGGTCCACACCCAGGGATCCTGATTTCTGTGTTCTGTAGTGGAGCGTGGGATAGGTTTGTGTTTGTCTGCTTGACATTGTCTTTGTGTGTCTGTTCTGGGGCTAGGGTAGAACCCAGGACTTTTGCATCTGAGCACGAGATCTTCCACTAACCTGAACCTCTTGTGCACCCGTTTGTGTAAGCCCCCAACATGTTCACCAGTGTGTAAGTAACTGAGAACCAAAGTAAAAAGCAGCAAGCTCAAAATGTACAGAATGAGGCATTTGCTCAGAGATCCTCCACCAGGGGAAAACAGGCTCCCAGGGCAATTAAAGAGGAAGATCTTAGTTATTCTTTTGTTTCTCATTGAGTTTATTGGTACATTTTAGGTATACAGTACAGTTACATCCATCATTGGGATATTGTACCTTTACATGACAGGTCTTAGTTATTCTTGAATATCTATTTTGAATTAAAATACAGAAAGATTTGAGTTTGCTTTTGAAAATGTTTCCAGTTCCATATACCTCCCAATACTGAAATTCAGCTGAAGTTAAACAAAACTACTGCCATCCACACCTTCTAAATTGTCTGTCATTTCAAGGCAGAGCCTGGCCTCAGTGTCCTCAAGAATTGCTCCTATTGCATGACCTGTGGACTTCACTGACAGTGCTATGTGAGTTTTTTCAGAATGCAAAGATCAAGATGGGATCCTGCACCCACTGAAGTCAAAGTGGAGGACTCAGTACTGTGAGGAGTGTTCTTGCAATGAAGATGGGATGCAGTGCTGCAGGATGTGAGTCTCAATCCAGTTGTGGCCAAGAGGGCACTTGGCTGTCTTTAAAAACAGGTTTTTCCTAATTCAAAATCTCATTCTTTGGTTGATATTCAGACTTTATTTTGTCAAGCAGGTTTAGATTCACAGTGAAATTGAGCAGTGATAGAGACCTCCCATATGGCTTCTTCACCTATATTGACAGCATCCCAGACTGGGAATACCCTCTTCAGAGCCTGTATCCACACATGATCATCACCCAGACTTCACAGTCTATGTAAAGGTTTTCTGTGGATGTGGTGGAGGGTGGGTTAGTTTACAGTCTTGTGTCTTTCATTGATCAAAAGCATTTAGTACTTTCATACTGGGTGAAACCTCCTCAGTAATTACCACCACAGTGCCTCCATCTTTCACCAGTAAAAGTAACCCATCATGGTTCTCATCACCTTTACCCCATCCCCTGGCAACCTCATTTTCCTTTCTGAATCTACAAGTGTAACTGCTATGGGAGCTTCATAAACCTGCATACATGTGGTAATGGACCTACTGTGACCAGTTAGCTGGACTTAGCATGATGACCTACAGGTTTGTCTGTGATACACAGTGTGTCAGAATGTTTTCCTTCTTCAAGGTCCATTAAACTGCTCTGTATCAGGGCTGGGGATTTAGCTCAGTGGTTCGGTGACCTGCCTTGCAAGTGCAAGGACCCGAGTTCAATCCCCAGTACCAAAAAACTTTTTTAAAAAAATTTTTAAATAAATAAATAAGCTGCTCTGTATCAACTGACCACATGATTCTTATCCATTCACCTATAGATGGGCACTTGGCTTTATTCTGCCTCAGATTTATTTCCCTTTAGCCATTCATTTGTTTTTTTCAGAAATGCCCATACGAACATAGGCTCCTGAGGACAGGAAAACATATTAAATAATAAGATGGTTTTCTAGAACATGGTCCAACAGGAGTGTCACTACTAGTACAAGCTTTGGTGTGAAATAGCCTTTCCCATCCTTTCTTCTGATTCTGACTGTAAACAAGAGCCTCAGAGAATCTTACGTCAACCACAGTTAGCAGAGGAGTGAGCAGCTTATGTGAGAACACCAGAGAACTTTCTGAAAAATTCTTCCCACAATGATTGAGCAGCCTCATGGGTAATGCACAGTGTAGCAGGAGGAAAATTCCAAAACCAGACTGGGAGAGGTGTCCAGAGGAGCCTTTCATGCACTTTAGGAACTGACCAGTTCCTGTTACAAGTACATCTTCTTTTTCTGGCTCTTACAATTTGAATTTGCCTTTGTAGCAAGCAACAGTAGACTCTGCAGTGTGGTTGTTTTTATGACCATGTTCAGGGCTGGTGAGATATTTCTCTTACAAGAAAAATTCTGCGCTCTCTGCAGTGTGGTTGTTTTTATGACCATGTTCAGGGCTGGTGAGATATTTCTCTTACAAGAAAGAACTTCTGCATAGTAGCTAAACTGTTCCCAACTGGTCAGTGCTGGTTCATCCCAGCAAATCCATAAGATCCTCCTCCCTGGTTCCTGGGCTTCAGAATGAAAAGAGTGAGGGATCCTTCTGCAGTGAAGTGGGAAGAGCTTCAGTGCTGGAGTAACAGCAGCCTGAATCTGAATTTCCTATTCTTCAAGTAGTAGCTGTGGGTCCCTGGGAGAGTTTTCAATCTGCCAGCCTCACTGTAAACTGGGGATTGTCAGGTAGCTGTGAGATTCTGCAGGTTCATTAATCACCTACTATGCATGTGACAGTTTCCTTTGTCCTGATCTGTGATCCCCAGTCTAGGACAGTGATTGACAAATGGTCAGTGTACCTGGTCCACTTTACTTCTATGTTTCCATGATGCTTGTCCATTTATGATGCTACTCGACCCCTAGGACATGGGCCCACTGTGAGAACCAGCTCCCTTCCCTGGAAAAGACTCAACTTCTACATCAATTTTCTCATAATCTTTCATTTTTATTTTGTGTATAGAACAATTAACATTTGTTTTAGTTTCTCTGGGAAAATATTTGGACCCATGACCACCACTGCAAGACACTTTCTAGATGCCTAAATTATTAGTGTCTGGAGGCCCAAGGCCAATGCTTCCTGGCCAGGGCAGGGAGGTGTTTTGTCTTCTTCTATGCTCAGGCCCAGACTTAAATACACCCTATTGCCAGACTACAGAGAGGGAGGTACAGGGCCAAGGAGATCCAGCCTTAAGCTCTTGGTGTTGACTATGTGGTGTCTGTTATGTCCCTTCTCAGTCTGTCTCAGCTTTTGCCCTTTCTATGTCTCACTGGAATCAAAATTGCATCCAGTGAAGGACCCTGTGTTCTAACAACTTGGTCCTGCTTACAGATGGCAGAATTATGCATGTTCATTACTGACTGAAATGTATATGGTTAAATGTCTTGTAATAATTTCTACCTTATTTTTAATTATTTTCTATTAGATGTGATTTTCAATTTAACCATTTTCAAGTTTAAAAATTCACTAGCATTTAGTATATCCACCTTGTTGTTTAAATATCACCACTATTTCTTTTTATGGAATTTTTTGTAGTATTTTTGTGGTGCTTTGAATTGAATTCAGGCTTTCTCCATGCTGGCCTTGAACTTTTTCAGTTCTCCCTACCTCAGCCTCCTAAGTAGCTGGATTATAGGTCTACCCATAAACCCTGGCTTTTTCTACAATTTCCACAAATGAAAAATGTACACTGTAAGATGCCTTCCTGCCCCCTGGGAATCCTCAGCTCCACCTTCTGTCTTGTTGATCTCCCCTCTGCTAGAGCATTTGCACCACTGGAGTCCCAGAGTGTGTTCGCTGTGTGGACTCATTTTTCTCAGCAGCTTCTTCTGGTTCAGCTCCATCACCACCTATTAGAGCCTCTTCCCTTCACACCATAGCTACAGGCCAGGACTTACCCAGCCCATACTTGATCACTTCAGTCTTGTGTGGAGGGCCTTCGGGATGCCTGTGCTTTTGTTTTTATGAATAACTGCGAGGAACATACAAATGTGGCTGTGTCTGCTTCCTTTCTTGGGACTTGCTATACTAGTTATATAGAACTGTGATTTGACCTTGTAGGAACTTGAGGTCTTTTCCTCTGTGACTGCACCATTTCACAACCTACCACTTCTGAATTTTAAAAGACTTAAAATGGCATTTTGGTATGTGTAAAGAAAAATGTATTCATATAAAATTATTGAAAAGTACACTGAGTGCTTGCTTCAGGAGCACATATACTAAAAAAATAAAGAAAAGTAAAGTACACTGAAAACCCTTATTCATATTCAACAACAACAATTCTTAATATTTTATCACAAATTTCCTTTCCTTTTTTATATTCTTTGGCGTACTGGATGTCAAACTTTTTATTGTAATCTTGTCATCTGAATTGTCAAATTGTTTCAGCACCATCACTATTTTTCCCTAAAATTCTTCAGAATGTTTTGCAGTACAACTTAACTAATCCTTTATCTTAATTAAGTGGGGTCTTAGAGCTCACGGCATAATTGCAGAATTTTCTTCCAGTCACAGGATGACACCCACAGGTATCTTTTTATCACTTTTGGTCAGTGCCCAGAGCCCGGGTCACCATGAGCACGCATCTGACCTCCTCTTTACTGCATCACCAAATGTTGCAAGTGCCAACGTCCAGTGCTCCACACAGTGTGTACAGAGGAAATGCATTGCTTAGGGAGGAGGAAGAGGATCAAAACGTCCCCTTTGGTTAAGCTGAAGTCCAGCATCCCTTGATGAAAAGCAACACTGTCCTAAGGGGCCACAGAGCTGACTGCTTCTTTCCTCTCTGGCAGTTTAAATCTAGAGCCATGGTACAGGCTTCAAAGAGTTATGAGCACTAAGCTGCTCATACCACTGAGTACGCACAGGAGCCTACCTGACCTCACTGAGATCTGCGACCCTGGTCTGGGGTGGCTCCCTGCTCCAGGTTGTTGTGCTAGGTCCTGTAGTGACCAGCAGCCATGCTGGGAGGGACAGGCCTTCCCTCCTGCATTCCAGCAGCAGCAGCAGAGCAGGCCACTTCCTGGACAGGGAAGGCAGAAGGCCTAGGGTGGAAAAGTCTTCCTGGCCAAGTGCGTGGCAGACGTGACCTGGGCTTGTCAGAGAGGCTCCTGCCTTCTGTGCATGCAGGGAGGAGTGTGGGACCCATGAGAGGGCTGCTCTGTGTGCTATCTGTGGTACAGAGGTCCAGGTTTCTGGGACCCATCCTAGGACTTCCAGGCAGGGTCCACCACGGGTCAGTGAGCAGCACCCTGGCCAACCACATGGGAGGTGTTTGTGCACAAAGCTGGCATTGACAGTGGGGCAGAATGGCTGGTGTCCTCATCCTCCTAATAGGCCTGGGTCTTCTCTCCATGACAGATACAATGTACCTGAGCAACTTGACACAATGAAGTGCACTTATATTAATCACTTTGAAAACTGCTCATACAGCATAGTGGATCTTCAGGACCCAGAAAAACCCTGTACTGCCCGTGCCTGGATAATGTAATATCCTCCAGTGGGCCAAGTGGTCACCTCCCTAGTCTCCTCCTGTGGCCTCTAATAATCAGTGTTTATGAAACTTACCTAGCAATAAAATCATTCTTGAGTGAACATTTGTGAATGTGTGTTCTTTCAATTTACTCATGATGTTTGCAGTGATTGAGCGCTGATTAAAAAGCACACAGATATTTAAAGAAGACAAACATAAACACAGTGAACATCACAGCATGTTTCCTGCACAGAAATCAGTGTCCGTGTGTCCCTCCCCAGGGGACTGTGGGCAACTCTGCCACTTCTCACATATCAGCCATAAGCTTCCTGTTTCCTGAGATCTGGTAGACAAAGTAAAAATAAGAGTCTTCAAGATGAAACCAGACTCCTCAGTTTGCAGTGCTCATGCCCACAACTCTTTCTACTTCAGGAAGTGTCCTGGCTGCTGTGTCCCCACATCTCTCTTTGTTTGCCTGAGGTCAGAGCAGGACCTAGCAGAACAGGCTGAAGCAGTTCCTGCTGGACCCCATGCAGCCCCTCAGGCCTAGGCTGCTGTGATCCTGGCCTGGCTGCAGGGCTCTGGACATCTATTGTGGTGCACAGATCCCCATCGTGTGGTGATTTCAAATACAACAACACGATCTGCATTGCAGGGCCTGTGCTGGAAACCATGTGCTTCCTCCACCCTGCGCTGAGTGCTCTCCCAGCGCAGATCCAGCCTGGGATGCAGAAGTGAAGAGAGAGGTCAGGAACCTTTTGTCCCAGGGCTTAGAGTAGCTGTGTGCACCTGACAGGTCTCAAACAAGCAATCACAGGGCAACAGATCCAAGTTTTATCATCCAGCTCTAACAGGCTCTGACCCACGTCTGAGATGTTTCCTGCCATCTGTATGTGCAGGGAGGTGTGTGGGACCCATGTGAGTGCTGATCCACTGTGGTACAGAGAGTCGAGGTCTCTACAGACCCACCCGAGGCTGCCAGCTAAGAAGCATCATCATAGCCAAGACAGTGGAACTTCAGCCTGCAAAACGGTGTGCTGCTCTGTGCACACAGCTGGCTAGGGAGGCATGGTGGGGTGGTTTGTGTGATGAGGTCTCCTTGGACAGCCAAACCAGGACCACTTTTCCTTTATAATCAGTCTGTATTATAGTTCATGCTCTGTTCAGTTCCAGAAAGTCTTATTTCAAAGATCTCATCTTATTTCAAGAGGGATTCAGCACACATAATTATGTATAATATATATAGCCCTGGCTCCCACTCCTGAAGAGGTGAATGTGTCTGGTTTCTCTTGGGAGGCCTTTAATAAAATTTCTTCTGGTCCAATTTCTTTTCACCTGCCTTCCCTTTACAAGCACTGACTATTCATTCTCATAGTGCCAGCAGGAAATCTGTGTCCATCTATGGCACACACAAGCCTATATGTTACATTTGGGTAGTGTAGTTTCTAGATCTTAATATTTATCTTTTTTCTTTTTCCTTTTTATACTACCTGGGCTGGAAGTTTATTGATTGGTGGCACCCACAATTAATCTCAGTCCACTCTCCTCAATTTGCAGGCCTTCACACCAACGTTCTCTGTAGCACCCCACAGACACAATAAGAATGTGCTCTTCTAACCGCTTAGGACTCTTTGAATCCAGTCATTGACATAACATGACTAATAGTCCCAGCCCATCCCTTGTGAGCTTGACAATCGCATACATCTTTTAAAGCCATATGTAGTCTCCAAATAAAACAACTTCAGAATTCTGCCTCATGTGATACTATCCTCTGTCCAAAAGGAAAAGAACTAATACCCTCTCCAGAATTGAAGCTGATGTCATCTTTGAGTAATACATCCTCTTTTCCTGAGACTTCATAACTTAAATATTATAATGTAGATTTAACAGTGGATAGGTATTGATATTAACTCTTTCAATGTTATGTTACATGGTGTAAAAATACCAATAAAGAAAGCAAAGACATCTGCTTAGTCTGTGTGTATATATAAGCATATTAATAGACAGAAAATAAATACTCATGACAATTATGAATCTCATTTTTGTAACTGTCCTTGTGGCCATAGATTGCATTTCTACCTACCTTGTGCTACTACCCACTCTACTTGTCTTGCCTTCAGGAAGCACTTCACTGAATCTTGGTTCTTTACCAGATGGAGTGGCCTACAGTTTTTTTCCTGAAGGTTTGTCATCTGGTCTGGATTTAGATGATATAGTTCCCCAATGACTTTATTAGACCAGCACAATAATACTAAAAGAGATCCAAACAGACTTCCTGCACTACAAACATATGCCTCCTTCTTTCCAGGTCTGTGGAGGTCTGGTGGAAGTAAGGAAGCACATGAGTATCATTCACACTCAACACTCTGTAACTCTTTTTTTATCCTGTTGGCTCAGAAGATAAGGAACCAGAAATGTCCCGGGAAGCCTTAGGTGTCAGTTCAATGGAATCGCTGTAGGTCCTTGTGGAGGAAGACTTCCTCCATCTGGAATATGGACTATTAGATCCTCAGAGCATAAGGGTATGTGAGAAAGAAGCAAAAATTTTGCTAGTGGATCACTATGGGAAATAGTGAAAGTTACCATTTTGGTGTCCTGGACACCACCACAGAGTAGGTAAAGCCTTGAGAGATAAAGCAGATTACAGGAAGCCAGAAGTGGTGTGAAGGAGAGATAAAAAATTATTGCTAGAAGGCATAGTTTTGCCATGTTATCATGAAAAGCTTGTGGAAAAGGTAGGATTGAGGCAGTGCAATCAGAAGTCCATGGCCAGAGTGCAAGAGGCACCTAGTGGAATCCAAAATAAAAGAAAAGATAGCTACTATTAAAAACTGAAAAAAGGTTCTGTTTCAGAATATTATGAATGTATTCAAGGCCACTTCATTGCACAATTTTTTTTTAAATTTTATTGAGTTTATTGGTACATTTTAGGGATACAATACAGTTACATTCATTGTTGGGATCATGTACCTTTACATGGCAAGTCTTGATTCTCATTTTTTCCCCTTACCTCTGCCCTTCCTTCACCCGCTCCTCCCCTCCGCATCTACAAACACTTTATTTTCATCTTTTCATTCTCTCACATTTTTTTCTTTTCCCTTTTTCTTCTTCCCCTACGTATCACACCTTCCCTACACCTTTAGCTCCTTTCTTCAAATTTCTAAATGTCAGTAATCTTATTAGAATCTTATGCATTGTTACAGAATATTCACACCAGGGAAACTATTTGGTATTTACACATGTGTGACTTATTTATTTCACTTAGGAGTATATCTTCAATTTGTATCCATTTTCCTATGAATGAATCTATTCTCTCGCTCTTTATGGCTGAGTAATATTCCATTTTATAGAAAAACCACAACTTCTTTATCCAGTTTCCAACGGATGGGCAAATAGGTTGTTTCCAAGATTTATCTATTACAAACTGTGCTGCTATAAACATGGGTGCACATATTTCTCTGTGATATGATTCTTTTAGTTCTCTTGGAAGGATACCCAGCAGAGGGATGGCTGGGTCAAATGGAACCTCCAGTCCAAGCTCTTTGAGGTATCTCCATATTGATTTCCATAGTGGTTGCACTAGTCTGCACTCCCACCAACAATGCAGGAGGGTTCCTTTCTCCCCACAACCCCGCCAACATTTGTTATTGTGTGATTTCTTGATAGCAGCCATTCTTTGTGGGGTGAGGTGGAATCT